CTGTAAATACGGAAAAACGAAGAAAGTATATCAGGTTTTCTACTTCACTTCCTATTTTCTTCACAGAGCTGTGATAAAATTAAAGAAATAGATAAAAAGTAGTTCGGTTACCACGATACTTATTAACTTTTTCTTTATTATTTCTTTTCCTTGGTTTTTCCTAACGTTAATATATATATATATATATATATATATATAGATTTTCAAAGAAAAACATTCATGAATAAAAAGGGCAAGCTTACAACAACGCACGTTATTTGGCATAAGGATTAAAATTGAAAACTTTATTAATCTTCCTTGTAATTTTTCGTTAAGACACGACACTTTTTATTTCTTATAAATAAATTCTTTTTCTAAAAAAGGAAACAAATTCTTGTTACCAGAAATCCCTTGGCACAAATGATGAAAGGGCGTCATCAATTTCGCCGTCGCTTCAGTCTACAGCCCTCGGCGCACTTGAAGGAAGGACAAGAGGATGGGCCGACGAAGAATGTGAGGTAATGCGAGAGAGATTTCCAGAGTTCTGACTTCTACTTCTCACTAATTCACTAGCTTGTAATTAATTGTCAATAATTAAGCAATTTTGAACTAGTTAAACTCGCATTGACTACTCTTCAAAGAACAAATAACATACATACAAACATATGCAAAATTTGCACTTTCGAGAATTGTTATTCATATTCGTCATAATTTTTAACGAAGAAGATGGCACATTTATGTAATAAGAATTAGTGGAACAAAGTAAGCCAACGTATCGTATTCACCTTTCAAGAAGAAAAGCTTCATCGCACGTTGAAAAGAGTTGATATTAATCTTTTCATCCTTTCCCTTTGAAAGAAGCGTCATCTCCTTTATGAAGATGTATTCTTTGAGATAACATGCAGATACGTGTATACGTGTGGACTGTTCGATTTTCGATATTGTATCTCCTTGGCGTATACACGAGGTCCACACAGAGGAGACGTTCGAAGTAATAAATCGCAGACCGGAAAAATTGCTTTCAGCGTGAAAAACCCGCTCGAGTCCGTGCGCATGACGCATCTTCCTTTCTCCTTGCGTTCTCCGTTCTTCCTCGTCGCCATCCGTTCCCCGTGACTAGCTCTCGGGTTACCAGCCCGAGCTTTAATTTCGCGGCGAATCCACGCGAGAAGGGAAGCTCGGCTTTTCCGCTTTTGTATGCCCGTCTATAATAACCACGTCTGACTTCTCGTAATAAGCGCGGATGATTACGAAGACGTAGATACTTAAAGGCATCCGATGCTATCTGGTGCATGTAAAAGCGACCGGCACGACCCTCCCGCGCACACACACACACACACACACACACACACACACACACACACACACACACACACACACACACACACACACACACACACACACACACACACACACACACACACACACACACACACACACACACACACACACACACTACACGTACGTACGTAC